TTCCACACTGATCACTTTCAGTGACATGTAGACAAGTTTTTGAAGAAAGTATTACGTCATACTTCTGTGAACAATCTGCGTAAATTGATTGATGCAGATTACAATCATTACAATGTTTCGAAAAAGGCTCATGAGCAGCGTACTTGAATGATTTCAGACTAACTGTCCGCACCACGTGAATCTGGCTGGTTGACCTGCATCCCACCATGTCGACATGTCTGACATTGCGTAATTCTGATAAATGTCTTAAACTCACTTAGCCTAGATGACCAATTGTACCATTAAATAGGCATACTGGGCCCTAACAAAACATGCTACTCTATGATTCCAGTGACGCAGTTTTTCAGGAAATTCGTGGTATTAGTTGCCCATGCACTAGGCTATTGGTACCAGACACCGGTAGACACAGTGGGATGCGTTGAAGCGACCCAATGGCTGGAATTTGAGTGTTCAGAACAATCCGCTACAACCTAAAATGAGTCAATCATTGTGGTGCAGTCCCAGTCTCTATACTTGTCAACAGTTATCGGAAATATACCTAAACATACTTCACTATTGGAATATTTCACCCAATACTCGAACTGAATAACTTTCCATGTTCTCCTATGCAAAATATACTACTGAGCAACAAAATGAGTAGTCAGAAACCAATTGTGTTGATCTGCATATTTCACCGGCCAGGTCGGAGTGATGTGAACTCCAAATAACCGTTTCACTGGTCAGTATTTCTTCCGAAAACAAATTCAGCCCATACAATAGGAGCAAAACTATCCGCTCTCACTGACTAGTGGACTTCAGCAAACCGATATATAGAATGAAGAATATGAGAAATCTACAAGCTGTTAGTCACTAGTATGTTTCGACAGTTGATGAAGCTTTTGTGTAACAGATCACTCCTTTCGGAAGGATCCTTTTAACTCTATACTTGTTGGGACTTGAAAAAATGGTTTATCGTTAGTTACTTTGTAGTCGATGTTATCCTTCATTATCGAGGGACCGTTCCATTACGGCGACTTACAAATATCTAAATTATTTGGAATTACTATATAATTTACGACGAATTCACCGTCTACAGTTATTAAACTATCTATGAAGCGGTCCTTCAAACTCATTCAGCTTAGAGAACGGAATCAACCAAGTGAATACGTGAACTGAACTAAAGTTCTCTCGAAACAGTGTACTATTCAACAATACTCTGCACGTATGTTTCTTGTTTTCAAGCAATCGTCAAGATGTAGTGTATTTGTAACCTCTTAAGTGAACTGAATTGTCAGTCGCCTGAGAAATCCGGAAACGCATAAAACATTACTGCACTCCTATAGGTCGATTACGGCTACAAGGCTGAGCTCACTGACCTCAACACGAGGTAAGGATACCAGTGAGTGGATAAAAATGAATGAGATTTGCTTGCTTCAGCGCCAAATCCTCATCACAGTTTTACAACAGTGGCATATGGCATATACCTAACATTCTTGAAAAGCCTGTATGAGCTTCTGGTTGGGTGATCAATCCAAGTCAAGACAAGGTCACTGAAGTATAGGTTGAATTCCAGAATCTTTTGACGCTTCTTTGTGTTCAAGTATTTATTTATTATTATTCGTCCCCTGGGTTCCTAGTGGGCTTCGGTAGCACATCTCCATTGCACTCTGTTCTCTGCAGTCTTTTCAACCTGGTTCCACGAATACCCACAAGCTTTCATTTCTTCTCACACGATCTCCATGTCACCCTCCGACCCCCAAATCGTCGTTTCCTATTTGGATCCCACTCGAGTGCCTGGTCTGGCGCGTGATGTCCCCGAATAGTCTTCTCGGTGTTGCCCGATCCGACATTAGACATCACTTCATCGTCGGTGAAGTCGAAATCATTCAGGGTTTTTTCATCAGTTAAACAGCGTTTGCCCCTCTTCTTGCTCCTCACAGTTTGTTGCATAATCCAGTCGACCACAATCAGGAGGATCATCGGTGATAGTAGGTGGTAACCTTATCCTACTGCTGTCTTTACTTCACTGCAAATGTATCACCGAGCTTTCCATTGTGAATCACTTGCCACATAGCGTCTTTATATAGTTGTTGAATAAGGGTGATAAAGGTACTCCGTACTGTTGAAGCAGTTTACAAATTAGTGCTCGGTTGACGCTGTGCTTAAGTATTACAAACTAGATTCAATCGAGTCATGAAGCGTGATGAAACGTACGCACTGGTGAGGGCATCAACGAAACACGCTGTCTGGAGAGCGGAAACTATCTAATTGAGATTTATGTTAATGATGGAACATGGCCAGCAGTAGAACCCAGGATACGCATTTCGTCCTATTTGGGACTCGTCAGCTGGACGTATCTGCTTCCTAGTGCGGAGTGATATAGTTCCCACCGGGAGGAAATGCGCATCGTGGATTCCACTGCTAGCCATGATCCATCATTAACATAATTAGAATGCAGACAATATCGAGGCATCCGCACAGGAGCCCATATGCCATCAGAGAAGGATCAATTCGCTCCAATCAACGACGGTATCGTATGGAAAACAATCATACTAATTCACATTTGTTTTCCGTCTTCAATGCTGTTCAGATTTCGCTTATTTTGTATGAATAGACATGATGACACAGTTCACATTTCAGCCACAGTGAAGTATGTTACACCATATCAAGCAGTTTGAATGATAATCCGAAGCGATTCTGCTCCTAGGTGTGCCCTATAATATTGGTTACTTACCCAGCTGCGGTTCACTAGTCTGCGTACTCGAAAATTAGTCAATAGGTCACGGCTTCGAACCCTCGTAATCCCATTCAAGTTTTTGAAAGCTTGTAGAGCCGTCTCACATACCCAGGTTGGTTTAATAGAATATCGTGAACTTTTGGAAATGACATTATAACGTCGAACCAGGTTACACGGCTCAAGTTCGCTCAGCATAGATGAATGTAGTCACCGTCAACATAACTGCGACCACTGCTAGACTGGAAGCAATAAAGACAACTTCTTCTGGTCAGTGAGCATAACCAGCTAGAATTATGAACGTTTGTTCAGTCTCCTTCAAAGCACTGTTGAATGTCAGATGCTAGACAGCCGTCCCGGTGAACTGTATCACAAATCAGACAACAACAGTTTCTGGAAATAGCGACGTTGGTAACTGACGAATCTTCCGCCTGGAATTAACCACTAATTTATCAACTTAGCCAGTATGAAATACACGCTTTACTCTACATTTCCACAAGTTATCTATCCTATAAACCTATATGCATACCGATATTCGACATGAGCACACAAGGTCAATCCAGTGAACTAATAATTCGTATAAACGAAAAATCCTTAAACTACTCATGCGTGAACAGAACACAATCCACAAAAGACATACAGCGTTAATGCATGTAATCACTGAGGCTTTGATGTTTCACCAAGCGAATCGATTTAGCTGATAGGAGAGATGCGATTATCCCATTGTCACGCAATTCCGAAAAATAGTTCAACCAAGAAAATATATATAAATTTATCAGGGTAACGAAACAGGGAGATAATATATCGGATTAGAATGAGGTCAATCTGCTTAACATATGTGGATATACGATATAGCTAAATACTCGAAGAATCTTTGTGTTTATTTGAATTCCTCATGAAGGTAAGCACTTCTTTATGCTGGAAAGTAAAGACGGCAAATCTGGATAAGAAATATAATTCTTTCATTACACAACTGCGTTCTTGCCTTTTTTCATATATATATATATACTTGTAATTCTCCGATATTTTATTGGATTGAGTTGGTATATGGCTCCTGCGATCTATTCACAATTAGAAATGACTCTTCCTAAACAGAACGAACTAAATTACCAACACACAGTAGCTTCACACTTGACATAGACAACAATATTTCTTAACTTAACTCACGAGCAATCGAAAATAGTAGAAAAATCGACTGTATATTGTTTACGCACATAACAAGATTCAACATGTACAACACTGACCTTTACCGATAGTTACGAGGTCATACCACAACAAATGCACCTTGAAAAACAGGTTGTAATTAGTTAAAAAAAAAAACAACCGGTCCGGCTACTTCTGTTAACGCCTACTCTGATCATTAGAAAATCAAATAATAATTTATTTATTAATTAATATTTAGCACTTTTATCATTCAACCAGGTTTTTATACGCCATATTAGAACTCGGCTTAAAATCAACCAGTTTAAATATCTCAAACTATATGCCACTGAAAGACTATTTATTTATTAACTAACGAACGCATCAGGGCCACATATTAAAATAATTCAAATGCCCACTGACTAACAGCTAAGTCTACTTACAATCAATCGATATCTTATGACCTTCACATGTGTCTGACCTACACTCAGGAAATTCAAATTTCAAATCAATCAATCAATCAATATGCACACATGTATGATATATATATTAATATTTATATAATAATATATATATATATATATATATATATATATATATTAAATGGAGTTATAAGACAAATTTGCCCAGTTAAAAAACCTATTAGCAAAGTTGGATTGTCATCATCTCTTTTTTAGAAAAATGCTTTAAAACGATTAAACAGATCACATTGGTACACAAAGGTAACACTAACAGTTTTCTTTTATAACATGAATATATATATATATATAAGTAAATTTATTATGAAGATGAGTTGTTATAGACATTTATTATCATGATTTAGTGTGCAATTAGTCTGTGTCTATAGAACAAACTAGAGATTAAAAAAATCCTCTAGAAAAAAAAATAGCTAAGGTAATAATAAAATGCACACACCGATGTGTTTAGTCAATAATAAAAAAATAATTTTTTTCTTTTTTAAACAAAAAAAAACAGCACCTCTTTCCTGAATGAATAGAAAGATATTCTTCACCTTGAGGCCAATACAATTAGATAAGGAAATATAGTACGTTAGATAAGATGAAAAATCATACAGAAGGAAAATATTTAATATATAATATAATTTTGTTAAAATAAATATTAATATAAATACTCTGTCTTTTTTGCCTATTACATAAAAAGATGAATGAAAAAATAATAAGAGAATTTTCAGCAAAGGAAAAATGATATTACAATGATATTTATATATCAAATAGTAACTCGCCTAAAGTTTGAGCACAATTCCAGTGTATCTAATTGGCTGCTACTATTACTTCTCTTTGTTTGACCGTTGATGAAGTAATTAACTGTCCCCTTACCATTATAATTACCAGTCTGTTGTTGAGTTGACAATGATGTTGATGTAGATGAATGTGTTAAGCTATGTAGAAAATAACAATTTTTACCGAATGGACAATTTCCTGTTTTAGCATAATTTATACAAACTCTTGTTCGATATTTTGGATGAAATTGAGGATATTTTAATTCTTCTGGACCATGAGCAAAATGACAGTTATCTCCTAATGGACAATGTTTATATTTTTGATAATGTAGGCATGGTTGTGTTTTATACCGAGCATTGTAGATTGCATCCTGTTTCCTTGGGATTGGATAACGCATATGCACTTGCATTGGTCTATGAGTAGTATTTGTGGAAATAGTAGATATTTGTTGTTCTGATTGACTAGTCGTCATTTTCACAACATCTGTAAGGCTAATGTCACTTGTCAAAGGGAATGAAGCATTCAATGGAATTGATTCTTTCTGTCGTAGTAGAGGTCTCGGATTCAATTTAATCGACTGATGAGTAGTTCTTGTTAGACGAGCATTTCGACCAGGTATACCCAGTTGTTCGTATCCCAAACCTGAATCGGGACTGGTTGTAGCACATGATGGTATTAAAGAAGACTGTTGACCACTGGTTGAAGGATCGTTCACCTTGCAAGTACAAACATCAGTTCGCATATTCAAAGGCTTGTACAGCAGTCTTTTAACATCTGGAGTGATATTCTCGGTATTCTCTTGATAGGAGGCTTCCAATGCCTTACTGACAATCAGTTTCAAATTTTCCGGTAGGCTAGAATACTCATTTATGGTAGTACACAACTGTTGATTTACTTGGTTATTTGAAACCTCTACAATTTTAGAGCTGTCTGACACACGATTAATGGTTTCGCACAATATATCAAGTGAATTGTCGGCTTGATATTTAGTACTTTTAGTATTACTGTTGAATACTTCAGATAGAGGTGAATTAGTACTCCTCAAAGATGCTAGATTCCTTTGCATATCAGACATATACATGAGTACATCGCGTGTTTCAAAAACCATTCTAATCTTCTTTCAACCGTTTAACGAAAAGTTAATTTATTAGGAGAAATAAAATTAAGATAAATATGATAGGCTTTTACTAATTTGTGATTGAGATTTTTAACTAGTACGTCAAGGTCACACGAAATGATTCCACCAATCAGAGATGCTTTTGGTGATGAAAAACGATTCGTCTACACACTACTACTTTCTCACGTGTGTCCACGCAATAGATAAAGCTAATAAGTTTGACATGATCATACCCTACCACCACCTCCTGCCTTCTCTACTAAAAACTGTCACCAATCATATTTATTGTATGGTACTGGTCACAAAGTTGAACAATCTTCACATTGACAGTGAATCTGGATACGAGCAATTGAAAGCAAGGGAGATTTACACACACTTTGTGTTTGTGTGTTTAGTATGTTAGTTTGTAGGGGTTGAGTGAAGAATTAACCAGAGATTGATGATGTAATTATTTTCGTGATAACAACCAGTTTCTCAATCCTTTGAGTTTTTTTAAAAATGTGCTATCAAAGCGACTGGTGGGTAGTAAACACACGTAAAATTAACTTAAACAACGATATCTCTCCTTAACAAACTACTGTTGTGTTAGGATTAAAAATCAGATAAGACGTAATCGACGACATTGATCAGCTATAATCCGATTTCAATAATCAACTGTCAACAAAACTTCACATTCGTATGTTTTCATTTTGCTCATGAAGAAAATATAGGGAAGTTTGCTTATCTCATATTCATACGATAAGAAAAACAAGGAAGTCGATTGTGATGTCACTGCATGTGTGTGTATATATGGGAGCACGCTTACAGATTCAGTGTATTATTAGTGATAAACTTTTTGGGAAGGTTAGGGACTGATAAGACTCACTCAGAAAAGTGATCGTTTAATTTTTGTTGCGTAATCATTTAGTGAATAGGCTGTTTTTACTGTCTGATCTGTAAGTTGACCATTCGGATAGTATAAGAATGTTGTTACTGTTTACCTACTTTTGTTTGTTGTTGGCTTCCTCTTTTTTTCCGTATATAAAGGAGGTTATCATGAACGAGAATTTGTTAGGCGATGAGGTTGGCCTACAACTTCAATATTAAGCAATTGAACCGGTTGGCTGTAAGTTTAAACTCTTACAGAATTCAACCTATACTCATGTGTAGAGCACTACATTAAAGCACGAAACGCCTATCCAACGAGTTGACGTTGTTGAGGTGTCCCGATTTACGACGAAACAGCTGCTTAGTATTCTTAGGCATTCAGTGGTTCTCTAATTGATGTCAGCTTGTTATAAGAAGTCATTGAAACTCAATCGACACTCATTTAAGTGACTTAATATCAACTTCCTTTGTAATGAACTACCCGAAATTCTAGGGAGAATCCGTAACCTGCTAGTGGTCACTATTGAGGAGTCCCAGACATAAACAAAACAGCTCCCTAATGCTTCTCGGTTTACAATGATCTTCTAACTCTGAATATTAAGCCACTTCCGTGTAATTTTAGATGCACTGGGCGGCTAATAGCACTGCGTATTGTAAATCTGAGTATCGCAGTCCAGATTCTAAATTTATGCTGAAGGATGCGTTATGCGGAAAAAAACAGACGGTTGCTCAACTCAGTTTGGGGGATTACCAGTTTTAGGTGTTGGTGGTGACCAGTATAAGTTGTTTGTACGGCTAGCAAAGCATTCAGGACCGTACTCAACTCAGCAGCCCATTTAATTTTCCACTTCATGAATACCAGATGCTTATTCTCCCACCGTGTTCAGCTATCTCAAGTAAGGACTACAGGTCCATGGCTTATTGTTCTAAGGACCGCTGGTCGTGGGTTTGAGCCCATGTTCCTCCTCCTGATTTGACCAATGAAATTAGAACGATGACATTGTGTTTTGGTGTCAGACTTTGCTAGTCAGTACGTAGCTAACCGTGTCTTATCTATGTCTCGCCCTTGCTGGGACTTATCAGGCAGTCGTGTCTGTGATCATGAGAAAAGTGATGCTGTCTCGGGGTTTTGAGCCTACGTCAATCTGTGCTGAAGTCGGGTATCCAGTTGTCATGAAGTGCTACTGCACCTTTAACTTTCCTCTCTTTTACGAGACAAGTTCAACTGGCCACTAATGGTATGGTCGAAACACAAATATTGCATTCAACTATCAGTCTCCATTCATCGTCATGGCTATTTATGACACATTCATAATCTTCGAAATAATCTTATAGGAAACCTAAGGGTTGACCAGGTGAACTGCCCTGGTCAAAAGCGATGCAGCCTGCTTTGTATATCACCTTCCACAGACTTACCTGATGCCGTACAACATAACAGGTTAATCAGTCGACAAAACGATTTAAACTCGATGTCTTGTTCAGTAGAACAGAAATTGTTCGATAAAGTTCGATGGCTTGCCTATGTACTGAGTGATGTGGGTTTGAGTCCTGCAGGGGACATCAATTCCCCTGGAGTTTGGAGATACACATAACTGACGAGTACCAGAAGGTGTGAAAGCTAGGTGGATAGGTCTTCGTGCCGATCACCTCCATCCAACTAACAGATACTGAGTCAACCATTAGTCTTTCCGCCTTTCTTGGAGTTTGAGAAGTTGAGGAACTATCAAGCGTCGCATTTGAAGGTTGTGTCTCAACAGTTTTCAGTACCTTAATCAGCAATTCATGTAATGTCACCCTCATAAACCTCTGGTCACGCTCCGTGGTCTCTATTAGTCAATATGGTCAGTTGGACATTCAGCAAAAGTAATGGTTGTACAGTGCAATGCAAGATTTGAAAAAATGCCAGCCACTGAGGTGAAGAATTTACGTCAAGTCTATCCGAGATCCCATGGGGTCACGAGTGAAGCACTGATGAAAGGACGCTAGCTAGGATGCATCAGCTGGCCAAGTTGTAACCGGTCTTCCGAATGATGCTATTTCATGATGAAGCAAACATAAATCATGATGACGTTGCAGTCTTTGAAAGGCTGTTTGAGCAAATTTTAACTGATTTTCAGGTGGTATTCATTGTAGAGTAATATCAGTTGGAAAAGCATTGAAAGACTGGTGGTATCGGACAGGGATTCCACCTTAATGTGACCATCGTCAGCATCACGCACCCACCGCTCCACCTATCGAACTCAGGAGATTTAGGTTTCATGGCGAACGTGTTGACCATCCAGCTTCTGGACTGTAGTTCGGTAGTCCTCAGTTTCCTATTTTTGTTAAGGTCTTCATCTGACATTCGCTTCACTTCCGATTAGTTGACGCTACAGGTAATAAGTTCAGGATATGCTTTTCGAAGCATGTCACTAATGAGCACTATACACTAATGTAGTTTTATGTTTATTGTGATTTTATTGATAATTTTATGATAATATTCACCGCAGCGTTTGTTGCAGAAACCTCAAGTTCCTGAGTTCGATCCCCGGGACAACCGTGAGTGCCTACTGTTGAGGAGGACGAAACCTATGCTATTCAGTGCTCCCAATTTTTCAATAATTCTCTAACTGAATATTAAGTTCCTTTTATGGTTGACTAGAAACCTAGTCAATTTTCGATAACTTCCAACTATGATATTGAAATCTCTTCAGATTTTGTAGATTCTGTTAATTGGCTAAATTCATTCTTATTTCAATGATTTTTAATTAATTATTTTATTTTTCACAATGCAAATTATTTTAGTCTGGTATTCATCATGACGGACATCAATTAGAGGAACACTGGAAACCTGAAAGCACTGGACAGTAGCTGTTTCGTCCTAGTATGGGGCTCTTCAGCAGTGCGCACCCACGACCTTCAGATTCCTTGGCCAAACTGTTACCATTTAGTTAACCACTGGGTCGGAATCCAATGGTTCATATTTCCAACATCTGCCAGTTCATGACAGTGCAAACATCACCCGATATCATTGTTTTTTTTATTTTTCATAATGCAGATTATTTTCGCCTTGATTTTCTTCTAAGGTCATAAAAGGAGAGTATGATTACGCAACTAAGAATGCAGTAACTCTGAACATGTGTCAAACCCAACAATGAAATCATACCATTCATGTAGGATGAAATTTTTTTGACTGTGAACGGAACTCACCATTGTCATCATCGATGATGTATGGAGAATGAAACACACACACACACACAGCACATGAATAAATAAATGTAGTGAATTCTGTTCAGTTCAATTTGAATCCAATGCATATTCTACTCTTTACATAAAAATTCTTTAAAAAAGCCGATACAACTCATTTAATGTTATTACTTGTATTACACCGTCGTTGATTGGACCCAATTGATCAGTCTCTGTTGGCATATGGGCTTTTATGCGGATGCCTTGATCTTGCCTGTCTTTTTAACTAAGTATAGTAATGATGGGCAGTGGCTAGCAGTGGAATCCAGGATGCGCATTTCATCGTATTTGGGACTCATTGGTCAACTGGATGTATCTGCCTCCCAGTGAGCGATTTGTTCCCACCGGGACTCGGACTCGGTGGCGACCACTTCAAAAGCCAGAGAGTTATCCACCACACCACCAAGTCACGATAACAACTTTTGAAAGACGGGTATAGGTTTTAGTGTTATTGCCACTGCCCATCATTACTAAACATAGTTAAAAAGACAGGCAATATCGAGGTATCCGCATAGGAGCCCATATGCCAACAGAGACTGATGAATTCGGTCCAATCAACGACGGTGTAATACAAGCAATGACACTAAAACTTACACCCGTCGCACAAGAAGTAGCTATCGTGACTTGGTGGTGTGGTGGATAACTCTCTGGCTTTTGAAGTGGTCGCCACCGAGTCCGAGTCCCGGTGGGAACAACATCACTCACTGGGAGGCAGATACATCCAGTTGACCAATGAGTCCCAAATACGATGAAATGCGCATCCTGGATTCCACTGCTAGCCACTGCTCATCATTACTATACAACTCATTTAAATTTATCTCACCACAATAAATAGATAGGTGGCCAAGATAAAAGTGACTGATCAAGAAAATACAAAAATGTTTTTGAATTTTCT